CTGCTGGGAGGAGAGAGCAGAGTTGCGGAGTGTCTACTGAGCGAGGATAGCAAAGTTGCCAAGTCACGGCTGGAAGGGGGATTAGACAGGGCGAGCTGAGCTGCTGAGTCACTGGAGAGAGGGGGTAGCAAAGCTCCCAAAGCACTGCTGGGTGATGGAGCTGGTTGAGCCGATCTGCTAAATCACCACTGAGAGGGGGGAGCAGGGTGAGCTGAGCTGCTGGGTAACAGCTGGAAGATGGAGCTGGTTGAGCTGAGCTGCTCAATCACTGCTTGGAGGGGGAGCGTAACTGTAGAGTAAAGGACTAGAATAACCTCAGTTCCTTCTGCTGTGAACTCGAGGATGAATTCCTCCACAACGCCTGGAGCTACAGAGGTCACTTTGGGGGAATCAGGTTCATTATAATGCACGGTGATGGCGGAGGTAACAATTCCTCTCTTCTCTCATTGTCAGGACTGCACTCTGGAGCAGCTCTTAGAGGATATAAAGAAACTGAAGGCGACCGTGAAGGAACAAGACAAGAGGATCGCCCAGCTAGAAGCCGCCAAATAGCTACCCACCGCATAGCCCCCCCCCTTCCCTCCCTGTCATTGCCATTCAATAGAGTGCCTGAAATAAAAACTGCCTATATTGCACAGCTACATTCTCTAAAGTGCACTGGAGGGACCCCATTGGCTGCACTGGAGGGACCCCATTGGCTACTATGGGCAATGAAGACACTTTGATAAGGGGGCCCTTTTCCTTATCAAGTGTCTGAAATGAAAATGTCTCCCTGCAGCAACCTGGACTTCACACTGGACCCAGAAATGTTTTTTTCAATGTGGTTGTTGTTTGGCAATACAGACAGTTTTTATTTCAGAGACTTTGATGAATAAAGCTCTGTGGTGTGACTACACTCATATGACGGTTATCGGAGGCCCTAGCACTGTACTGGGAATTCGGGGGATGCAAGAAGCCCCTTTAAAGTGAAATCCTATGTCATAGTCCTGGATAGAGTGGGGGAAGGGTTTGATCGCGTGGGGCAAGGGTTTGACCCCCTGTTGGGTTTTCATGGCCGTGTCACAGATTTCCACTCACTTCCTGTCAGGACAGGATGAGGAATCAGAAGAATAAAAACCCTCCCCCGCTCCGTCCACAACTAAACTGTCTGGCGTTCCACTTTAGATGCGGATTTCCCCCAATGCTTTGATCGGGTCTCTTCATTGATGAGGAGGAAATGCTGTAAATATTCTGCTGTCCAGAATCTTGTGTCACCCCCTGAAATATTCCACGTCTGTCCCGGAATTGTGGGATGGAGAGCCAATTCATAACGTAATAAAATGTTTTTACTTTAAAATGATAAAGCCAATTTTTGTTAGGTCACATTTCAAAGGGGGCGTGGCTAAATTAATGTGGATGTCGTCAGTGGTGATATGCCAATAACATTAACAATGCAAAGGTCGTCCCCAATAATGCTTTCCTTACATTGGTGGTCAGTGGGGAGCCCCAGTAATGCCCCCCCCTTACACTAGTGGTCAGTGGGGAGCCCCAATAACATCCCCTCTTACACTGGTGGTCAGCTGGGTAGCTCCAGTAACATCCCCTCTTACACTTGTGGTCACTGGGGAGCCCCAGTAACATCCCCTCTTACACTTGTGGTCAGCCGGGGAGCCCCAGTAACATCCCCTCTTACACTTGTGGTCAGCCGGGGAGCCCCAGTAATGCCCCCCTTACACTGGTGGTCAGCGGGGAGCCCCAATAACATCCCCTCTTACACTGGTGGTCAGCCGGGGAGCCCCAGTACCATTCCTCCTTACACTGGTGATCAGCGGGGAGACCCAGTAACATCCCCCCTTACACTGGTGGTCAGTGGGGAGCCCCAATAACATCCCCTCTTACACTGGTGGTCAGTGGGGAGCCCCAATAACATCCCCTCTTACACTGGTGGTCACTGGGGAGCCCCAGTAACATCCCCTCTTACACTTGTGGTCAGCCGGGGAGCCCCAATAACATCCCCTCTTACACTGGTGGTCAGCCGGGGAGCCCCAGTACCATCCCCCCTTACACTGGTGGTCAGTGGGGAGCCCCAGTAACATCCCCCTCTTACACTGGTGGTCAGTGGGGAGCCCCAGTAACATCCCCTCCTACACTGGTGGTCAGCGGGGAGCCCCACTAACATCTCTTCTTACACTGGTGGTCAGTGGGGAGCCCCAATAACATCCCCTCTTACACTGGTGGTCAGCGGGGATATCTCTTCTTACACTGGTGGTCAGTGGGGAGCCCCAATAACATCCCCTCTTACCCTGGTGGTCAGCGGGGAGCCCCAGTAACATCCCCTCTTACACTGGTGGTCAGTGGGGAGCCCCAGTAACATCCCCTCTTACACTGGTGATCAGCGGGGAGCCCCAGTAAGATCCCCCCTTACACTGGTGGTCAGCGGGGAGTCCCAGTAACATCCACTCTTACACTGGTGGTCAGCGGGGAGCCCCAGTAACATCCCCTCTTACACTGGTGGTCAGCCAGGGAGCCCCAGTAACTTCTCCTCTTACACTGGTGGTCACTGGGGAGCCCCAGTAACATCTCCTCCTACACTGGTGGTCAGCTGGGGAGCCCCAGTAACATCCCCTCCTACACTGGTGGTCAGCGGGGAGCCCCAGTAACATCTCTTCTTACATTAGACCCTGTTCACACTTGGCATGCACTTCAGCATACATGCAACCCACAGTGTGAACGGGGACTCCACAGGGAAGTGTGATCAGCGAATCCCCCCATCATAATAGTATCAGTAAGTACCCCCAGTGCCACTATTATGTCACCCCAATGCCAGCATTGTGCCCCCCCATCAAAATGACTTTCCATCTTCCACCCATCACATATGCAAAGTGATAGAAGGAAGTCTCAACAAGACACAGTGATCTGTATTGGCGCGCTGGTCCCCATCGGTCCCCCTCACATCCATCCCAGACACACAAAAGTGCCTGAGTTTTACATGAGAGAGGGTGTGTATTCATTACACCTGGAAGTGGGTTAGATATTCCCCTGTGGTCCCGGGAGTGTCCATGCGAGACATCCAGCATCCTTCTACTGAACACCACAGTCCACAGAAAAATGGCGGAAGGCAGAGGACGGTCATGGCAGGAAGTGGGCGGGGTCAGGGCTTACTTCTGCTTCTCCTGATCCCACTGAGCCGGCGTCAGGGTCTTCTGTTCAAAGGCGTTAACTCCGAGCAAACAGCTAAATACACAACTAAAACACATCCTTGTTCATCATTTCACCCCGCAAAGGATTTGTAGTTCTGTCCTTGTGACACACACACAGTGACTCGGCTACTTCCTGGTTCGCAATTACCACTTCCTGGGTCATCTCCCTCCTCATTGGACAGAGATGATGATGATGCTGATTCACAGTCCAATCAGGAGGCAGGAAAAGGACTGGACACCATGAAAGCGGACGTTCACTCTGCTTATATTTTGCCTCTGCAAGGAGAACACGGGAATCTTATGCGTCTCAATTGAAGGTTCAATTAAAGAGACCCTGTCAGGGGTGGAAGTTCCAGCAGTAATACCCTATAGAAGGAGGTGGAGGTCGGCACTGATCTCTATGCGGGTGGGGGGGTGCCGAGCAGAATCTCTGTTCTCTCCAAGAGGTTTGGGCACCAACAGTATCCAACACTGGACAGAGGGTCCATCTCCTGTGTCCCCCGCTTGACGCCGACCTTCCTTCCGCCGGCCCGTACATGACTACTGTGTCCTGTAATGATGTGGGGTGGGCAGAAGGAATCACAGTGGCCAGCAGGGGGGATGGACTACCAAACACACCCGGAGCTCTCTGAGGGAGCAAAGATTGGGCCCGCTGCCCCCCCAGAGAGGTGAATATAAACCGCCTTCTAGTACAGGGTGCTGCTGTCGGAACATTGTAGTTTTCCGACAGGTTCTCTTTAAAGCTCCCCATACATACAGCACCAGCAGTACCCAGTGTCACCCCCCTTGCATACAGTACTATTAGTACCCAGGATCCAGCTCTTCCTCACCTGCGTCTCTATATTACAACTCCCCCTCCATACATATAGTACCAGCAATACCCAGAATCCTCCTCACCTGTGTCTCTGAAGCAGAGGTTTCCCTTCAAATAGAGGTGACACCACCACCACCTTGAAACTGGTGGAGCAGTGATTGGGGGACGTGTCTTCTACCTCCTGTGGGGGGATACAAGAACACACAATTAGTATACAGTAGCAGAGATGCTGAGACACGTAGTCCTCCGGTACATGGACTCCCAGCAGAGTCCTGCAGTCACCTGGGGGTGAGGTCATTAGTTCTAGCCCCACATTTCCGGTCCCTCGCCTAGGCGGCAGAGACGCAGCAACACTGCACGTGGTCTTCTGAGATACTCACTTCACGCACCCCAGGAGTTATCGAGAGAGAAAGCTACGAGATCCTGGAAGAGACATAAGTTCACCACCAGTTGATCTTCTGACCTGCTGCTGACCTCCTTCTGGCCTCCAGTTGATCTTCTGACCTGCTGCTGACCTGCAGTTGATCTTCTGACCTGCAGTTGATCTTCTGGCCTGCTGCTGACCGCCTTCCAGTTGATCTTCTGACCTGCTGCTGACCTGCAGTTGATCTTCTGGCCTGCTGCTCACCTCCTTCCGGCCTCCAGTTGATCTTCTGACCTGCTGATGACCTCCAGTTGATCTTCTGACCTGCTGCTGACCTCCTTCCGGCCTCCAGTTGATCTTCTGACCTCCAGTTGATCTTCCGGCCTGCTGCTGACCTCCTTCCGGCCTCCAGTTGATTTGCTGACCTCCAGTAGATCTTCTGACCTGCAGTTGCTTTGCTGACCTTCAGTAGATCTTCTGACCTGCTGATGGTCTCCAGTTGATCTTCTGACCTACAGCCGTTCTGAAATAGTGGATTCCCCGCCATTCCACAGTGTCTCCATAATGCATAGCCGGAACAAATGGCGGTAGGCTCTAACCATCACTCATACGTCCCATGTTTACATTATCCATGACAGGTTCCCTTTAACATCATCCCCCCTGCCTGCAGCTGACACAGAGCCATATTTCATGCACTGCAAGCAGCAGTGACACAGGCCGCCTCAGGGTCCAGGAACTGATCAGGCAACTGAGGTGGGGCTGCTTAAAGGAATAGCTGCAGACCTATAAAATTGGAGTCTCTCCCCCCCAAAGAGTAGCAATAAAACCGAGTGACGTCATGTGCCCTTACCACGTGATTAGCCTGCAATTCCCGCAGCAGCTTCTCCTTCAGACCATCAGCGCTCAGCTCTCCGTGCTCAGCCATGACACCGGCAACCTGCTAAACTACTGCGCCTGCGCGCATGGCACCGCACAACATGCCCCTCCCCGTTTCGTCATTGGCCCGTACCGCCGCGTGTGCGTGGGACCGACACCTGTCTGAGCCAATAGCAAAGCGAGCAATGCCCATGGAGGGGCGTGGACTTGTATGAATCTATCCATTCAGAGCTGGAAGATTGTCAGGCCCCCTTCAGGTCCCAACAAGAGGTGACCGAAAACCGCCCCGTACCGATAATCCTTTATTTTGGAGTCTACAGAACAATGTTTGGATTAATAAAAAGACATACGTGAGATTTGTATGTCTAGGCGGATAAACCCCTGATGATTTCGTTTTTAAATTACGTAATGAATGGAATACATTTGTCAGGCGTAAAAATGGACAGCCTGGTTGCTAGGGAAACGATTTTATAGAATGAAAATAGGAAGTGACGTAAAGGAGGAGGAGGAAGAAGAAGAAGGGCAAGAGGACTGGCAGCTGGTAAGTGAGTTGTAAGGATTGTCGTTGCTGTATACATTATTTGTCTGGTCGCATTACATGTTCCAGAATGCCCTGCCATGCAGGTGTTTAACAGCTGTGGGGGACCCCAAGGCTACATGTAACAACAATGGAGAAGTCTCCATACAAGTAATATGGTGACCATTTGGGGGGGGGGGG